GCAGGGCTCAGGCAATTCACTCACCTCAGCCTCCCAAAGTGCTGGGATTACAGACTGAGCCACTAAGCCCGGCTAAGACCCTGACTCTTAAAAAAATAAAAATAAAAGTGAAAATCTTCTATTCACATAGTTTCTGTGTAATTACAGTACTAAGTTGCATATTCCCACATTTGTGAAGCAGAATAACTAGAATTTAAGTAAAGATGTATATTATTTTTCTATGAAATATAGTTATTTTACTTAAAACTGCTTGGAAACGTACCTGGATTCTAGTTGCTGATGAAGATTGATGTTATCCTGTCATTAAGCCAAATATTGTCTACATTGTAAAGTATGTGAAGACCTATTATATAATTATTCACTGAGATGGATTACAAGAGCATGTGAACTTCCCAACAACTTTGAAAACACTTTAGATATATATTTGGATGTGATGAGTCAGATGGCCTCTCCCTGAAGCCAGAGTTCTGGCCTGAAGGGCTGTTTGAACCTCTTCATCTTCCACTGTACCCAGGAAAGATGAGGCCACAGAGGCATTTTAATGTCGGTCCTGATATTTTATTTAGAAAGCTGATACTCAATTCATTTGACCTGACCCACGTAGAGCAGAAGCGTTTTTCCCCTACAGTGAGGGAAATATGTGCATAGCAGGACATCCCACAGGGATAGCTGACTTCTGCAGAAGACTGAGCAATTGTGACTGTAAGAACACGAGGAATGTAGACAGTGCCAAGCAATGAGTACTCCTCCCACTGTGAGGCTGTGTGGGTGCGAGGTGGCTGGCTCTCATGTCAGTGACAGCTACTAACTAGTAGAGTGTTTTGTCTTTCCCGGTCTTTAGATGTTGCTGCTCACGCCTGGTCTGGAACATCTCTAAGCTCATGTTAGTTTGCCTTTCTTAGTAACAGCCTGAAAGACTGGCCTGAAGTTTGGACACTGTGAACTTACATTCCCTCCCTTTGTTCTCTGCAAATGTAGATGTCTGACTCTACCCTTCATGCCTTCACATTCTCTTCCTCTATGCTGGGAGAAGAGGTTCAGCTCTATTTCATCATCCCCAAATCCAAAGAGAGTCATTTTGTCTTCAGCAAGCAGGGCAAACACCTGGAGAGTATGCGGCTGCCCCTGGTTTCAGACAAGGTGGGTGAGAGCATCTGGGCATGAGGGCTGGCAGGCACCTCATAGATGAGGTTTTCTTGAAGCTTCTTCTATCTAGAGGCGTTAATGTCCCCTTTTGGTCTGCTTTTTTCCCTTTCAGCAGAATTTGAATGCAGTGAAGAGTCCTATTTTCACTCCTTCCAGTGGTCGCCATGAGCATGGACTCCTAAACCTTTTCCACGCCATGGAAGGCATCAGCCACCTTCACCTTCTGGTGGTCAAAGAATATGAGATGCCGCTGTACCGCAAGTACTGGCCCAACCACATCATGCTGGTGCTTCCCGGCATGTTCAATAATGCAGGCGTGGGTAAGGTTCCCCCCACCCGGGACAGGGAGAAGGGCTGCAAAGATAAACTGAGTTTTATTCCCCTGGCATGAAATTTCCTAAGGTTCCCCTGATTCTGGAAAGTATCCTGCCCTCCTCATCAAAGATCTTTTGACTTCTTTGAATTTTGCAGGGGTCCAGCCCCTGCAGAGATATTTAGGGGGTCCCTTGGGAGGTGTGGCGGCGTCGGCGATTCTGTAGGGATAGATATTAAAAGAGAGAGGGAAGAAAGAAAGAGACTGGACTCTGTCTAGTGCAGAAGCCATTTAATGGGACTAACCATAAGCCTTTTATCCCAAATTTTCACAGGTTAAATCACAAGACTTTCATGTGAACACAAAGCAGGTGGATGAGGGGCGTCCCCCACCCACCAGGTATTTCCTCAGGCATGAGGAAGGACAACCACAAGACATTACATGAACACAAAGCCAGGTGGATGAGGGACATCCCCCACCCACCAGGTGTTTTCTCAAGCATGAGGAAGGGCAATCCCAAAATTATCTCACTGTTCCTCATGCTTGGTTAATATTCCTCAAAAGCAATATAACAATTTCTAACACCATAATATTCCAATGATCAATAACTTTTAAAACATGCACACACAACACCTAATGACTAACTTAAATCGTAATTCTTTTCTATTTTATGCTAATTCTACTACACTACAGAAACTCATAATTATAGCCCAACCCAGTTCCTAAAGAATGCGGCCTAGTCAAAAGATCATGCTGGGCCGTTTCTAGGAACAATTGATTACAACCTCTTAACAAAATGGCTGTTCTAAAATCCCATATATCTATTTTAACTTCTATAAAAGTTTGTAATTCCTAGCCGGGTTCAGTGGCTCAGCCTGTAATCCCGTGCCTTTGGGAGGCTGAGGTGAGTGGATTGCCTGAGCCTGAGGGTTCGAGACCGCCTGGGCAGCGAGAGCGAGACCTCATCTCTACAATAAATCAAAAAATCAGCTGGGCGTGGTAGCGCATGCCTGTAATTCCAGCTACTTGGAAGGTTGAGGCGGAAGGATCGCCGGAGCCCAGCAGATCGAGGCTGCGGTGGCCGGGAGCGGCCACTGCACTCCAGTCTGAGCGCGACAGAGTGAGACTCCAACTCAAAAAAAAAAAAAAAAAAAAAAGTTTGTAATTCCTAATCCTAATTTTTAAAGCTGATCATCAGCAATAAAGCTTCTAAAAACAAAACCCAAATATAAACTATATATTGTACTAAGGCCAAAACCACCATAGTAGAAAATGGGAACAATGAAATTTCTAAAGTTAGCTGTGTTCTTATTAAACCTCAAAATATCATGATTGATCATACTTGAACTAACATGATTCCCTGATGTTAGCATGACCTATTCTACAACACTTTCTATGAATAAAATAAATTCAATTTCTATAATAAGTAGAAAAACCCTACACTAACTGTAGCTAAAACCAGTCTAAAAGAATGCAGCCCAGTCCAAAGTACATGCTGGGCCCTCAGGAATGTGACCCAGCCCAAAGTTCGTGCTGGTCCATTTCTGGTAACTCTAGATAATCATCTATACCGTCTAAAGCTGAAAACAGCTCTCCATATGCATATACTGATTCTATAAATATACTTTTAAATCTTATAAAGAAGCTTGTACTGTATTAAAGGCTCCCAAATGTGACTTGAGTTTAAATTATATCTAATACCTAAGCCGAAACCGCAGTTCATGGAAAATAGGAACAATGAGTTTCTAGAGTGAGCCATACCTGTCACAGTCACAGAGCCTTCAGCTTAGGTAGGCAGAGATTCTTTTAGCTAAAAGGAAAAAGGGAGGAGGGAATGGGGTCAACAGCTCCCGAACACATCCTAGTAGTCTCAGGATCCACGGCCCACCTTGATCCCTAACGTTCAGGTGGACCTCCGTGGCCGGCTCCCAACAGAATTTGAGTTTTTCTTTTTCCCTCATCTCAATTTTGCAGGATTTTTAACTTCTGAGGACTAGGGAAGAAGTCACTGATGCACTGAGCACTCAGGGAAGGGTTGGGGATTCTTCCCAGGGTAGGCTGCAAATGTTCTTGAGTTGAGCACTCTAGAGCAGGAATTAACAGTGAGAATAAAGATGGTCTGAGGGAGAGGAGAGTTTGTGGCTCACCCCAATCTGGAGGGACCTTGGTCATCGCATCCTAAAGACACAGACCAAGCTCAGGGTGGCTGTTGTCCAGCCAGGGCACTTGATGCATCATTACTGCTGGAGACACAGAGGCTTGACCGGAAGAAGTCTTCTCTGCTTTTCCCCACAGGACTTGGTCAGTGCTTGCTGAATGTATGACAGAGCCGGGGGGGAGGCACTAGAGACGTTAGAACCCATTTAGGCAGGAAGCATCTAACTGAACCCAGGGATGGAGAGCTGGACTCTTCTGGGCACGTCTTGCACTATAGTTCTAAACAGTCTTTCTCATCAGCTTCTGTGGGTCTCTCAGTGCCAAGTCACAGAAGGATCCAGAATCAGCAACTGCTAACTCCCATTTTAAAGGGAAGTAGTAACCCCCAGCCTAGAGCTGGAGTGGAAGGCACATGAGACCTGAGTAGTTTTCTTGAACCTAAGATTCTTCTCTCCAGGGTCCCCGCTCTGGCTTCTTCCTTTCTCTTTGTCTCTCTGTTCATTTCTTTCCCTTTCTTTTTAGGTCTTTTTATTTCTTGTTCCTTTCTCCTCTTTTTCATGTTATTCAGATTTTTTTTTTTTTAGATTGGAAAATATAGTTTATTTAGAAAGTAAATTTGAGAGGCAGAAGATTTACCTCCCCAAGGTAGGGGAGAGGGCCAAAGCTAGAAAACATGGCAGGCATAGCTCAAAGAGCCATGGGGACACACCCGTGTTTAACAAAGCATTGGCCATTGTTCAGCTCTAAATAGCCTTAATGTGCGATTACATATTTCCCAAAATGACCTTATCATTTTGAATATAATTTTATGTTCCATGTTTATCACTTTATATCAAGTGAATTAAGGCTGTGTATATTTCTGGTCCTTCACCTTCTCCCAAACTGCCTATTCCCAAACTAAAGTCTTTTTCTGTATGAGTTTGACACTCTCCAGTGCCTGACTGACCTTTAGGAGAAAGTTTCCTCATCCCAGATATGACCAAATTGTTTAGTACTAGTTTTGCCATGTTTGCAATAATTTGGGGAGAAAAGCCAACACATACACAATGAAATAAATACAAACTGTTAACTTTTCATAAAAACCACATAAAACTTAATCATTTCCAAGTGTACACTTCAGAAGCGTTAAGTACATTCAGTGTTGTGAAACAGATCTCCAGACCTCTTTTCGTCTTGCAAAACTGAAACTCTATATCCATTGAACTTTCCCTTCCCCCAGCCCCTGGCAACCAACATTCTGCTTTCTCTAAGTATCTAATATAAGTGGAATTATGCAGTTTATCCTTTTGTGACTGGCTTATTGGACTTAGCATGTCCTCAAAGTTCATTCATGTAGTAGCATTTCAGAAGTTCCCTTTTTTGTGTGTGTGTTGGAGTCTCATTCTGTCACCAAGGCTGGAGCACAGTGGCACCCTCATGGCCACCGCAACCTCTAACTGCTGGGCTCAGGCGTTCCTCCAGCCTCAGCCTTCCAAGTAGCTGGAACTACAGGTGCACATACACCATGCCCAGTAATGTTTTGATTTATTGTAGAGATGAGGTCTCACCAACTTGCCCAGGCTGGTCTCGAACCCCTGGGCTCAGGCAATCCTCTCGCCTCCATCTCCCAAAGTGTTGGGATTACAGGCGTGTGCCACCACGCCCAGCCTCCTTCCTTCTTAAAAGCTGAATATAGGCCGGTTATAGTGACTCAAACCTGTAATCTCAGCAGTTTGGGAGGTTGAGGTGAGAGGATTGCCTGAGTCCATGGATTTGAGACCAGCCTGGGCAACTTGGTGAGACCTAATCTCTACAACAAATAAATTTTAAAAATTAGCCAAGCGTGGTGGCGCACATCTGTAGTTCCAAGTGATTGGAAGGCTGAGGCAGAAGGTTCACCTAAGCCCAGTAGATTGAGGCTGTGGTGGCCGTGAGTGTGCCACTGTACTCCAGCCAGGGTGACAGAGAGAGACTCCAACCCCCCCCCAAGAGGAAAGCTGAATATATATTTTCCACTGAATATATATACTGCATTTTGTTTCTCCATTCACCTGGATCTTGGGCTGTTCCCACCCTTTGGCTATTGTGAATAATGCTTTTATGAACACAGGTGTATAAATATCTCTGAGACCTGAAACCCTTCTTTCGGGTTCTTTTGGGATACACCCAGAAGCAGAATTTCTGGATCATACGGTAATTCTATTTTTAATCTTTTGAAGAACTGCCATAGTTTTCCATAGTGGCTGCACCATTTCACATTCTCACCAATAGTGCACTAAGGGTTCCAATTTCTCCACATCCTCAACAAATTTTTTTAAGGTAGTGTCTCATTGTGATTTTGACTTGCATTCCCCTAATTATTAGTGATGTTGAGCCTATTTCATGTGCTTGCTGGCCATATCTTCTTAGAGAAATGTCTCCAAAGTCCTTTGCCCACTTTTCAACTGAAACATTTTGTTGCTTGTTTGAGGGAATTCTTTATATATTCTAGATAATAGTATCAGATATGCTTGTACAAATTTGCTCCCTTTCCATGGATTGCCTTTCATTCTGTTATGTCATGAGGTCTAGCTTGTCTATTTTTTCTTTTGTTGCCCTTGTTTGCGGTCTTATACAAGGGGGGACTCAAAAAAAAAAACCCCAGAATTATCTTTTGGAGGGCAGACCCCTTATAATACACTTGGAATTTGTTCCTTTGGATTAGTCAACCCAAGCTTTTATCTGGAGGTTTTGGTTCCTTCATGACTTGCAGAGGAAATATCATGAGTTGTGGCAAACAGGTGTCGTGGTTCTTCCACCATGACAACACACCTGCCCACACTATGCTCGGTGTTCAGCAGTTTTTGACCAAAAAAATGGCATGAACCCCATGCCCCACCCTTCCTATTCACCCAGTCCCGCCCCAGAGACTTTTGTTTCCCTGGATGAAAAAAGTCCTCAAAAGGAAACATTTTACTAATGTGGACGAGGTGAAACAAAAAACAGCAGAAGCACTAAGCGACATCCAAACTGATGAGGTCAAAAACTGTTTCGGGCTGTGGAACAGCGTCTTGATAGATGTATTGCATCAGTTCTTTGAAGGTGATATGATATGAAGTTTAAACGTGAAAAAATACACAATTTTTAAGTAAATTCCAGGTTTGCCAACACCCCCTCCAAACGTGAGAGAGCATTGCCAGATACAATTTCATGAGGACTTCCTCTATGTTGTCTTCTAAATGTTTTATAGTTCTTTTGTTTAGGTCTCTGATCCATTTTGAATTAGTGTTTGTCTATGGTCTAAGGTAAGGCTCCTACTTCACTCTTTTACATGTGAATATCCAGTTTTCCCAACACCATTTGTTGACAAGACCACCTTTTCTCCATTGAACTGGCCTTGGCATCCTTGTCAAAAATCATTTGACAATATATGAGAGGGTTTATTTCTTCATGCCACTACCACACTATTTTTAATACTATAGCTTTGTAATAAGTTTTGAAATCAGGAAGTGTAAGATCTCCAACTTTACTTCTTTTCCAAGACTGTTTCAGCTATTTAGGGTCCCCTGAGATTCCATGTGAAATTAAGGATGGATTTTTCAATTTCTGCAGTTTTGGGGATTTTGGTAGGGACTGCATTAAATCTAGATTGCTTTGAGCAGTACCTACAACAATGTTAAGTCTTCCAATCCATGAACACAGGATGTCTTCCCATTTATTGGTGTCTTTTAAAATTTCTTTCAGCATTGTTTTGTACTTTTCAGTGTCTTTTACCCCCCCTAGTTTGTTCCTAAGTATTTTATTCTTTTTGATGCTACAGTAAATAGAATTGTTTTCTTAATTTCCTTTTTTAGATTGTTCACTGTTTTGAGTATAGAAACAACAGATTTTTTGGCATTGATTTTTGCATCTACAGCTTTGCTGAATTCACTGATTAGTTCTAATGAAATTTTTTTTTGAGTTGGAGTCTCACTCTGTTGCCTAGACTGGAGTGCAGTGGCCACTCCCAGTCACCGCAGCCTCGACCTGCTGGGCTCCGGCAATCCTTCCGCCTCAGCCTTCCAAGTAGCCGGAACTACAGGCACGCGCTACCACGCCCGGCTGATTTTTTGATTTATTGTAGAGATGAGGTCTCGCCAAGTTGCCCAGGGGGGTCTCGAACCCGCGGGCTCAGGCAATCCACTCACCTCAGCCTCCCAAAGCACTGGGATTACAGGCTGAGCCACCGAGCCCAGCCTCTAATGAAATTTTTTGATGTGAGACATGTCGCCTGGGAAGAGACGATTTTGCTACTTCTTTCCAATTGGAATGCCTTCTATTTCTTTTTCTTGCCTACTTTTTCTGGCTAAGACTTCCAGTAGTATGAAATAGAAGTGGTAAAGGGGGTGGAGGGGGCATCTTTGTCTTATTCTTGACCTCAAAGGAAAACCTTTTTAGTCTTTCACCATTGACTATGGTGATGTTAGCTAAGGACTGTTCCTACATGACCCTTAGCATGCCGCGGATGCATACTGCTATCCACATGCTCTTTGAAAGGCAGATTTTCCTAAATCCCAGTTTTATCCTTGATCTATTAAAACTGCTTTCGGTTCTTCTATAGGTTTAAGAGGCTTTTTTAAGCCTCATTTCATTATCATCTATATTATGTTTCATTTTAGGGTGGCCCACTTAAAAATTTTTGCTAATTCCTGATGGAGAGATGAGTAAATAAGACAAATCGTCATAATAATTGCTAACACTGAGTACTTTACAGCATGCTAGACACTGTCCTGAGCACTATACAGCAACCCTGCAAGACAGACATTACTGTCACCTTCTTGTAAGTGGGGAAGCCAAGGCACAGTGAAGTTAGCTTGTTTAGGGTCACACAGAAAGTGGTGGAATCAGGATTCAAAATCAGGCAGGATGGCTCCAGTCTCTTATCACTATGCCACATTGCCACTTACAAAAAGCAGATCTGGGGAAAGTGTGTCAGTTTCCAGAATCTTCTTTAGAGAAGACACTGCTGCCAATTTCCTAAAAGTATCTAAAGCAGAGGACACATCAGTGGAAGTGGCATTGCAGCCTGGTCAGTACCTAGTACAGGACATGAGAGTAGCTGCTTCCAAGACCACGAGCTTCTTGTCATGCTTCAAGGAAGTCATTAGTAATAGCATTTTCTCCATGTGGTATCCTTTGTCCTACCCGGAAAACTCGATTCTTGCGGTACTCCTCAAAGTGCGGTTCACATATCTTCTGCATCAGTAAGAAATATCTCTGGTTTCTGACCCTTCACCAGATCTACTCAAGTGCACCTCTGGTGATGGACTCCAGGAATCCACATTTTAAACTGATTCCCCAGTGGCTCTTCCATACACTTGAGAGCCACTGCTCTGAATATTTGGATGCTTCTGCCTGCACGGTGAACAGGCATGCCTGTGGAGAGAATGCAACTGCCTGTGGGGCTTTCTTTCGTCAAGTCTAAGCAGATGTGTCGATGTGGGTATGTTGCTTTCTAGGTGCTGCCAGGTTCCTCATTAAGGAGCTGTCATATCACAACCTAGAACTGGAGAGGAACCGCCTGGAGGAGCTGGGAGTTAAACGCCAGTGTGTCTGGCCTTTCATCGTCGTGATGGATGACTCATGTGTCCTATGGAACATTCACAGTGTTCAGGAGCAGACAAGGTAGTGATACTTCCAAGCAGTTCTGGGGGAGTATAGGTAACACAGTTCTATAGAGAAGATCCTTTTCCTTGCTGCAGTTAGACATGGAGATAAATAAGATACAGCTTTCAAGAGCAAAATGGTCAACAGACCATTTTGTGGTGATTTAGGAATTCTTTATTTAGACATTCGGTATGCCATTACATTCCTGGACTCTTTTGGCATCATGGCACTGGTTAGCTACAAAAGTCTGTTGAGACACAATGATTTATTTAGAAAGATTGTTGACATCTGAATCAGGAGACCTGATTTTTAGCCCCAGCTCTGCTTCTTAACTATCTGTATGGAAAAGAAAACTCATTTCACCTCTCTCTATCTCAAGTCCATCATCACCTGTAAAATTACAGCTGGACCTAAAGCAGTGGTTCTCTTGCTGGGGCAGTGCTGCCTCCCAGGGGGCATTTGGGGGTACTGAAATGCCAGAGGGTGGTGGTCAGGGGGTTCTATGAGGACCAGGGAATGCTAAATATTCGAAGTCCTACCAATATACAGCCCCAAATTCAGCAGCTCCCACTGCAACACTGTCCAGGTGATCACTAGGCCCTTCCAACTTAAACATCGTAATTCTGTGTCCTTGTTTCTCCTGTGGATTTCAAGCCAGTGAAGTTTTCCAATAGTCCTTATTCATTACCCGCTTTGAAACATGGGCTGGAATTATTTCTCAGTTCTAAAATGCCAGCTTAATGGTGACAGACAGTGGGAAAAGTGGGCTTGACATTCTTTTCCACTTGGTAATACAAAGTAAGTCAGTGAATTGTAACCTTTAGCATATTACTAGTGTATAGTAGTGTAGACCCTTCACAAATGACCCTCTCTTTGGTATATTTACTGACATGTTATGTAAACAATTGTTTTATTTCCTAGCCAGCCCATAGAGGTAGGAGTTTCCAGTAAGAATGTGTCCTTGAAAAGCGTCTTGCAGCATATTGAAGCCACACCAAAAATTGTTCACTACGCCATCTTGGGTATACAGAAATGGAACAGCAAGCTGACTTCTCAGAGCCTAAAAACCCCGTTCTCTAGGTGCCACGTGCATGATTTCGTTTTCCTCAACATAGACTTGACTCAAAATGTGCAGTATGACTTCAACAGGTAAGTCAGGCCTCATGGATGCAAGCAATTCTGGTACATCTGACTGTTTCTGCCCAACTCTAGCTTCTGTAATACTTTTGTTCCTGTCTGTGTTCTTTGAGAAGCTTCCTCTTTATGTGAGCAAGCAGAAAGGGGGGGCCCACAAGCCCCAAAGTCTGCCCCTTCATCATCATTCACACTGACCTAGACCCTTAATAACAGGTGTTCCAATGTGAAATGCTTAGAAAACACACTTTAGCCATCTCATTATTCAACGAGTGCTAAAATAGACACAAAAACTATTGACTAAACACAAGTCAGTGTGTGGACCTACAGACATGTAAGGCTAAGCCTTCCCTTCACCCTCAGAACTCGGAAATCCCCAAATGTAAGATTCAAAGTTCAGGATCCCGTAGGGAAAAGGCAGCAGATGAGGATGAGCGGGCTAGCCCTGGCCTTGCCTTTGAATAAGTTATGTCTAGGTTTCTGCAAAATCTGAGCTGGGCAAGGAAAAAAGGCAGGGACCATAAAGTCCCTCTTATGTCAACTCCTAACCTTGTGGCTATGAGAATAGGTGCTGTGTTCATTTCTGTGTTTTACATTTGACAAACGCTTCATCCTGTTTGTAGCCAGAATTTTAGAATATGTAGAATAGGAATATAGTCCTGTTTTTGTTCAGGGATATTAAAAACCCTGTGGCCTATCTGGAACAGAAATTACTTCCTCCTTCTTTTAAGTGTTTAATGCCCGAATTAGGATTTCTCACAGGTCAGTGTTACAAGGGCCAGCTCCATAGGACAAGTTGATTATTTTAGGCTCTCTCCTAACATCTGCCATACATTTATTTCTCTGTGTATAGCTGTGATGGCTGAAATGTGACAGGAAGTCAAAGAAACCTATTGTTGTGGTTATGATTTAGGTATTTCTGTGAAGATGTTGACTTTAACCTGAGAACAAACAGTAGTGGCCTGCTCATCTGCCGCTTTAATAACTTCAGTCTCATGAAGAAACATGTTCAGGTTGGCGGGCAGAGGGACTTTATCATTAAACCAAAGATCATGGTGAGTTTTACAAGACTGATTCAAGTGTCACAAATAAACACTGTATACGTAACCCTGAATTGTACCCCACATCTTTAAAATTAAAAATTAAAATAAACGCAATGATCTCTTAAGAATATCTCTTATTAGATTACTGGTAATATTAAGCATTTTCCACCCAATTGGAAAGTGAAGGTAACACGAGAGTTCTTCATGTCAATTTCATAGCCTCATTTCTGTTACTGAGGACTCATCTGGAGCTAAAACAACCTTTGACAACTCATCAAAATTACTTGAGATCTGAGTTTCTTTAGGTAGAAGCCTTAACAATTTCATTAAAGCTTTAGTTTCAAGATGGCAAACTTTACATTTTTACATTCTTCATGTAATACATCACAGAATTGTAAACCAAGATGCTAACCTTTCCCAGAATTTTTTTTAAAAGATAGTAACACAGATCAAAACCTGTGAAGAGTTCATTCATGGACCTACCACTCCTTTTCTAAGAGATTTACTGGTATCAAATCCTTTACAGTATGTGGACTACTCAATGGTGCTTATAAACCTTTATTTTTTTTTAGGGGGTGGGGGATAGGATTTAACCCATACACAGGCAGCACCACTGTAAACATCTTCCTGTTAGATCTCACAATGCACTTATCAAATGCAGGAACTTTCCAAGAAGCCTATTTTCCACTTTCTCTTGTCCTTGATGTGTATAACTTATGTTAAATCCTACTGTACTATGCCCAAGAGAAAAAAAATTTCAGGACCCAAGAATGATAGACAAACATTGAAACCTAGCATCTGTTACTGTGCAACTATTATTATTTGGGAACTGTAAGGATGGAATCCAGTGTTTCCTTGTCTGTTTCACCTGGTGACAGACACAGTGTTTCCCATGATGATCGTGGCTCTAATTTCAGGTGTCGGAGAACTTAGCACCCATCTTGCCCCTTCAGTACATATGTGCTCCTGACAGTGAACACACGCTCCTGGCAGCCCCTGCACAATTTCTCCTGGAGAAATTCCTTCAGCACGCCTCATACAAACTCTTCCCCAAAGCCATCCATAACTTCAAGAGTCCCGTGCTGGCCATTGACTGCTACCTTAACATTGGACCAGAGGTAAAAGGAGGGGGATACTGGGCTGACCCACATCCATCCACGTCTTTCCCATTTTAGCTGTTTGCAAACTTAGCTGGAGGCAAAAAGGAGCCTGTGACATACTCACTTATGCAAAGACTCACACAGATGCGATGACAATTACCCCTCCCCATACCTACCTTTATCTCTGCAAAATGAGCCAGTGAACACTCCCAGCTCAGTTCAGATGTCAGCTCCTCTAAGAAGCTCACTTTGATGACTTTGGGCATCAGGAGTTGCTTGTTTCCTCCTATCTTAACACTTATCAGAGTACATTCTAATTTTGTGAACTGTGTTTCAAAAACATACAGTGTGTTAAAAAACATACAATGTGTTAGCCACTGTTTTAGACATATATAAGAGAAGCTCAATGCTTACTGAACCAACGTGTACCACCTGAGAGCTTTATGGCTGTCATTTCTCCACTTCTCATCCCTGGGTTTCTCTCTCAAGTTCTTCACATTTTTGTTGTTTTAAAAACCCACCACTTGCATCTCTAGGTTCTTGCCACTAAGCTTTCCCTTAGGATTATTCTATTCTATTCATTCATATATCCTCCTTGTAAAGAATTTTTCAAAATAAAAGTCATAAGGAAAAAAAGTAAAATCACCTACAACAGGAACATAACATTCTGGTATACGACACTTCCTTCCATGTTTTTTTCTTTGTATGAATTGACAAAAACACATACTCTTTTAACACTGAAGTCCAACTATATTCAATTTTGGAAAACTAATTTTTAAAATTTAACAGTATCAACATTTTCATGATGTTTCAATAATCGACACTGTAGATTAGGCTATGAATTGTAGAATTTTAGAAGTAGAAGGAGTCTTGAAAACCACCATATGTACCAGGCACGATGGCTCATGCCTGTTAATCCTGGCACTTTGAGAGGCTGAGGCAAGAGAACTGTTTGAACCCAGTAGTTTTAGACCAGCCTGGACAATATAGTGAGACTTTATCTCTACAAAATAAAAAAATTAGCCAGGTGTGATGGCACACACCTGTAGCCCCAGCTACTCGGGAGGCTGAGGCAGAAGTATCACCTGAGTCCAGGAGGTTGAGGCTGTGGTGAGCCGTGTTTGTGCCACTGTACTCCAGCTTCAGAGACAGAATGAGACACTGATTCAAAAAAAAAAAAAAAAAGAAAAAGAAAAAGAAAAACATCAGATGCAATAAAACCTTTCACGTAAGTTACACATCTAACCCTGATCTCCCAATTCCCCTAGAGTCTAGGGCTCTAGGTATGAAGCAACACAATCTCAACACAACTACTACCACCAGCAGCTAATACCTACTAAGTGGTTTACATTAATTACTTAATTCACAAAGACATCCTATAAAACAAGTACTACTGTTATCTCTAGAGATAAGGACAGTAAGGTATGAAGGAGACTGCTCCTTTCATGTGGTGACTAAATGGAGGAAACAGCAGAATGGTCCATGCTCTTACCCACTGCACCATACTAGCTCCCAATTTTCTTACTCATTTTCCTGTTTTTTGCAAAGTTATCATCTGTTCATGAAAGCTCTGGCCAAAAATTTAAATTCAAGCACTGTTCTAAGCTCCTAACCAATTGAAATTTAAATCGAAATGAAAAGCTGATTAATCAAGCCAGGCATAGTGGCTCACACCTATATAATCCCAACACTTCGAGAGGCTGAGGCGACAGGATTGCCTGAGCCCAGGGTTCCAGACCAGCCTGGGCAACTTGGCAAGACCTTGTCTCTACAACAAATCAAAAAATTAGCCAGGCATGGTGGCATGCACCTGTGGTTCCAGCTACTTGGAAAGTTGAGGTAGAAGAATCACCTGAGCCCAGCAGGTCAAGGCTGTAGTGGCCGTGAGTGTGCCACTGCACTCTAGCCTGAGCAACAGAGTGAGACACTCCAAAAAGAAAAGAAAAGAAATTCTGATAAAAAATTTTTATTCTCATCAATAAGGTAATCTCTAAACATTTATTCTTTCCTAAGTATGTCTTTTGTGGAAGGTAGTTATTTTCCTTTTTAATTTTATGAAGACTTAAATGTAGAGGTTTCCTTTGTTTTTTACTACTAATTTCTTTCACAGTAGTCCTCTTTTATGAAAAATAAGAAGCTTAAACAGGTTAAAACTTGGCACACTAAATAAAAGAGGTACAAAGTTTAAATAACCAACTCATCTAATACCAGAAAATATTAATCTCCTTTCCTTACCCCGAAAGAAAGAGGAAAGTACTGACTCATTCAGCTACCCTGCAGATGTTCTGCTTGTTCTTGAAATGCCCATGCTATTTCTGCTTGATGGTTTCAGGTGGCCATATGCTACATCAGCTCCAGACCCCACTCCAGCAATGTCAACTGTGAAGGGGTGTTTTTCAGCGGACTTCTCTTGTACCTCTGTGACTCTTTTGTAGGTGCTGATCTACTTAAGAAATTTAAATTTTTAAAAGGTAAATCAAATTTAGTATCTTGCTGGTAAATGCTATTGGCTCTCACTGGACAAAATACAGAGGAGGAAGGTACCCTCAAAAAAGCACTTTAACATTGATTTTTGCCAATAATTTGAGTATCTTGCTTTTAAAACCAGGGCCACTAGTTTTCTTAATTGGGGGGGGGGGGATCAAGTCATTGTTATCCTAAGACTAAATGTAGATAAGTAGCCAAATGCATGACCATATTAAATAGATTGTTATTGCTACTGATTTTAGAAAGAAACTGATGATTTCAGGTGGCCATATGCTACATCAGCTCCAGACCCCACTCCAGCAACATCAACTGTCAACTGAGGGGGGAAATGTCATTGTTCCAGCAATGTCAACTGAGGGGGAGGAGGGGAATCAAGTCATTGTTATCCTAAGACTAAATGTAGATGAGCAGCCAAATGCATGCCCATATTAAATAGACTGTTGTTGCCAATAATTTTAGAAAGAAATGATGCAAGAATACGTAATGCTTCTCATATAAACTAGCTTTAATGGAAATCAGGCTAGTGAGTCTAACTGTATATGTACATAACCATACACATTATATAGTAATTTGAATCTAACATACTGCCTAGGTCAGAAATCAACTGCAACAAATTTGTATAACTGCATACCTAGATGTAAACCCTTAGTTATGGTTCTGATGTAGAAACTACAGTTGGTCAGGCACAGTGGCTCATGCCTGTAATCCCAACACTTTGGGAGGCCAAGATGAGAGGATTGCTTGAGCCCAGGGGTTCGAGACCAGCCTGGGCAACTTGGTGAGACCCCGTCTCTACAAAATAAATTAAAAAATGAGCCAGGTGTGGTGGCATGCGCCTGTAGTTCCAGCTACTTGGAAGGCTGAAGCAGAAGATCTCCTGAGCCCAGCGGGTCGACAATGGGGTGGCCGTGAGTGTGCCACTGCACTCCAGCCTGGGCGACGGATTAAGACTCTAACTCAAAAAGAAACAAGAAAAACAAAACAAACAAAAAAAACACATTTGGAGGCAAGACACGGTGGCTCACGCCTGTAACCCCAGCTCTTTGGCAAGCAGAGGCAGGAGGATCACTTAAGCTCAGGAGTTTGAGACCAGCCTGGGCAATATGAGGCACTATATCTCTACAAAAGAAATTTGAAAAATTAGCCTGGCATGGTGGCACATGCTTGTGGTCCTAGCTACTTGCAAGGCTGTGGTAGGAAGACTACTTGAGCCTAGGAATTCAAGGCTTCAGCTTACTATGATCACACTACTGCACTTCAGCCTGGGCAACAGAGTAAGACCCTGTCTCTGAAAAACCTACAGTTGGCCTCAATGGGTATGCACCACAGAGTTAGAATGGCCTAAGAACAAATTATAGATTAAACATCACAAGTAATCCTGATAAAGATGACCTTTGAGGTCAGTGAAAAAGCGAAATTCGAACATTGTGTGCAGCAAGAGAACAGAGGGCTTGGGAGGACTGTGCACCGATGTACGTATATTTGTATAAAGTACGTATATAAATTATTTCTTCTGCCAGGTGGGGGAAGAGAGAGAGGGCAATTTTGCCTCCCAAGAGACATTTGATAATGTCTGGAGACATTTTTGATTGTCATACTGGGGTGTGCTGCTAGCACATGGTGGGCTGAAGCCAAGGATGCTGGTAAACATTGTACAAGACACCGAACAGCCCCCACAACAAAGAATTACCCAGTTCAGCAGTGCTTAGGTTCAATCTAAAGGAAGACATGAGAAGCACATCATCAGTTACCACAGGGAAGGGGGGCTGTGGTGGGGAGGTTACTTACTTTACATTCTTTAAACCACTGGATTTGTAAAACTACCTATTCAAAATAAATAATAATATTAAAGTGAAAAATTCTGATAGGTTACTACCTTATGTTGGTTCTTGGTCGTGTTAGCCTAGGAAATATAATCAGAAAAAGATGGTAGAATTCTTTGTAAGTTCATTGCCAGAACCTAAGACCTATGTCTGCCTTTCTTCCCGAAGGTGCTACCTTGTGTGTCATTTGTCAAGACAGAAGCTCCTTACGCCAAACAATTGTCCGCTTGGAGCTAGAAGATGAGTGGCAGTTCCGCCTCCGAGATGAGTTTCAAACTGCTAACAGCAGTGATGACAAACCTCTCTACTTTCTTACTGGACGCCATGTATGAGCTTTTGAAGAGATCAAAAATAGCAAAAGCATGCCTGGGTGGGGTGGGACAGAAACATTTACTTGGATTTTTTTTTCTTTAAAGTACAATCACTGTGGAGCGAAGTGCAACATACTTGTCTGTTCTCCAAAGAACTCCCCAAACCTGACCCAGGACTTTGGGGACATTACTTTCCTTCAGTTCCAATTATAGGACCTTAAATTCAGGTAAACTCCACCCTAGGCAGGTATGCAATTACGTAACATATGGTCTGCCCATGGGATTCTGAGGAAGATATACTTTGGAGAATGAATATGGAGTTTGCTTTGGTTTTTCTACTACACTATGTTAGGGGAAACTGACTCTCAGCATCAGCTAGCCTGAATGTGTTACATGAGACTCACACCATGGGTGTGGAAGTAATTGAAGATTAACGTTTGAGGCCTGAACCCTCAGTTTCTCTTCAGATCTGTACTTTGGTACAGTATTACTCAGGGGTTTGAAATGATAGAATGTAGAAGATATTTGTATTTAAAAAAAGGAAGTAGCTTTGTCTTTCTCTGTGCAGTGTTAGTTTAAGATTTATAATCTTCTATGTATTGAAACTTTCAGCAAAATTTCCACAGGAGTTAAAAGTTTACTACTTAAACTGAACAAACAAATCAGTAAACGCAGAGCAGGTATTGTGTGCATTTATGCAGCTTCTCCTAGCTTAATTCCTTTGCTTTTCCCACTCTTTAAAAATGTTTCCAGTCTTTAAGCACAACCTATCTATGAGAAGAACATGGAACATCAATTAATCTTGCACAAGAACCTGATTAAGTAGGTGAGCCAATTAAGAAGCTTTCAGCAAATGACCTGCATCCACTCTGGTTGGAAGTAAACAGTTGGCACCAGGAAACCTAAATGTCAGGCTGAGGTTCTGCTGCGGAGGGAAACTTGTTCGTTTCCTTTCAGGGACTTCAACAAAGCTTCCTTTAAAAGATGCACTGAATATTAGCCGCCTTACACTGACACCACCACAGAAGTTGCTGAAACAGGAAATTGAGCCATAGAAAGACAGAGAAGTGTTTTAATCTTACCAGTGACTCTTTTGTGAGGAGTAAGGAAGATTCCACTAAGAGTCCTTTTGACTCATTAAAATCAGCAGAGGGTGTTTGTCCAACTTCAACAATAAGAGGCATAAATTGCTGCACATTTCTCAAATATTCTAATCAACATATTTTTGGAAAATGTTCTAGAACAAACTAAGTGTACTAGAAGTTTACTCTAAAATTGCTCTGGTTCTCCCGAACAATCTCCTGAGATTTTTCTCATGAGCCCATATGTACTACTTTATTCCTACTTTAAAGCACCATTTTTACTTGAATCAGTCTTGTGACCTGAAACTACTGAGGGGCCTACTAAGCTGCATTTACTTAGAACAGTGTTAACTGACCAGCGTTATTATCTTGTGATAACAAGGAGTTTACAGCTAGTGAAAAGATGGAATGTATTAGGTTTAAAATGGTTTGCAGAACTCTTGGTTTTAATGTACCTACTTAAGATGCTTTAACTGTATTTTGAAATGAACAATTCCTTTTAACCCCATTGTTAATTGTCCTTCAAAGGGGACCTGCCTTATATATGCTTTAAAAATACTCCTTAATTTTAGTACAGCAGAATTTTTGGCAAAGAGGTATGTTTTGAAGCAGTTTAGCTTAGATATGAATGTATTTCACTTGTTCCTGTTTTGTTGAAAGGGCCTAATTTAGACAATATCGAGAAACTCACTGTGCAATATTCCAGTAACATTTACTACAGAGAGCAAATAAAATACTTGAAATAATTATAAAACAATTTTCCTGGGGCAGATGGCCTCTCGGGGTTTCTTCTGGCTTTATGACTTCATAGTCTAAAGAATGTTTTTTAAAGTAGTTGTGTCAGATGCGGGTACTCCATATTAGTTAGGGCTGCACTCTGAAAATTCAAGTAATTATAAGCTCTTAAATACTATTTAACTCTGTGGAAGAGAAATGCCAGAATAAAGCCAAAAGACCATCACCCAATAATGGAGAAACTGACTCTCCTTTTCAGAACCTATCCTGCTACAGTTTGGATCTATTAAAACCATCTTATCAGTATAATTCCTTAAGGAATGTTAGGTCCTTCTTTAAGGATAAAGTTGCACAAGCACAGGACACCACGATTTGTTAATATATATATTGGTGTGTTCGGCTTTAAGCTTTGCCATCCCTTAGAACACTGATGTGGGGTGAATGGATTTGCTAGGCCCACGCAGTAACTCACCTGCAGACCTGCTGAACCTCAGCATGTTTGACAGTTCACACAGGTTAACACTGAATGTAAACTACAAATTAGAAAGAGAACTGTTGTGTCAATTTTTTTGGCTGTAATTTATGCAATTGCTTTTTGTGATTTTTAGGGGGCACCTGTGTTGCTTTAATACTGTAAAATTTTCTTAACCAAAATTTGGTGAATTTCACTAGTCTACCTCACATTTTGTTTATGATTCTGAATTGTCTTAAGTTGCATCTACTGTATGTTCTTGTCCTTTCATTTAATTTGGTGAATGTATTAAAATTCTCTCTCACCCCCACCAAAAAGTTGTTTTTCTTTAAACTAATTTTCTGGTTTATTTTTGAAAAATGGAACGAGTTTCTTGACTCTGACAATATCCAAAAAAGGCTTGAAGTCACATCATAGTTGGATGACTCTAAGATTCTAATATTCAGCCGGGCTCAGTGGCTCAGTCTGTAATCCCACGCCTTGGGAGGCTGAGGTGAGTGGATTGCCTGAGCCCGTGGGTTCGTGAACCGCCTGGGCAACTTGGTGAGACAATAAATCAAAAAATTAGCCGGGTGTGGTAGCACGCGCCTGTAGTTTCAGCTACTTGGAAGGTAGAGGTGGAAGGATAGCTGGAGCCCCGGTCTGGGCGACAGAGTGAGACTCCAACTCAAAAACAAAAAAAAAGATTCTAATATTCTAGCATAATGATCCAAGAAAGTGCTAAATAAGTATTTGTTAAATAAAAATATATAGCTTATAAAAAGCAGATATATAAACACACATAAATATCCACATAGATCATACCCATTTGCAGATTTCTACATAATAGATGATCTACAAATAATTAAAGAGTTATTAGAAATATTCATAGTACATCCCCAATGTTTTACTTTACAGAAAGCAATGATATTCACCTTGATGTTCTTGGAAACAAAACTTTGTATCATACTACACAGTTCTAGCAACCCAAAGTGTTATTGTTTTTTGCTTTGTTTTTTTTTTGAGTCGGAGTCTCGTCGCCCAGACTGGAGTGCAGTGGCCGCTCCCGGCCACCGCAGCCTCGACCTCCTGGGCTCCGGCGATCCTTCCGCTCAGCCTTCCAAGTAGCTGGAACTACAGGAACGCACTACCACGCCTGGCTAATTTTTTTTTAAATTTATTGTAGAGATGAGGTCTTGCCAAGTTGCCCAGGCGGGTCTCGAACCCGCAGGCTCAGGCAATCCACTCACTTCGGCCTACCAAAGCGCAGGATTACAGGCTGAGCCACCAAGCCTGGCCCAAAGTGTTATTGTTAATCTCTGATTTATTTCTAAATTCTACCTAAATGCTAACTTTTGAGAATAACTTTGTTATCTCAGAAAAAAATGGGTTTCAACTCTATTACATAAGTGTAGTAAATTAAAAGAATTTGACACAGAACCCATGAAAACACTCTTCTAGGCCAAGGCTATGACCTCAAGAGGGACAATAAATATTTGTAAGTATGGTGTCAAGATTTCAGAGGAAAGCAGAGCCTACCAGTGTTCAACTACAAGTCCCAAAGCAGCTGTCTTGAAATGACTATTAACTGTGAAACTCTGACTGCTGCACCTTCACACTCAACTGACTATAACTGGAACAACAATTTAGGTATACTCTTTAGGCTTCTCTTTAATAGAAAATGGCCCTTAAGCTTCCTCTTGGCCTAAGAGATACTGCTGTGTAACACTGAATCTCTGGAGCCACAGAAAACAAAACAAAACAAATAATCATTGCTATTTTTTTTCTTTTTATTTTTTGAGTTGGAGTCTCACTCTGTCGCCCAGACTGGAGTGCAGTGACCACTCCCGGCCACCGCAGCCTCGACCTGCTGGGCTCTGGCGATCCTTCTGCCTCAGCCTTCTGAGTAGCTGGAATTACAGGCATGTGCTACCACACCCGGCTGATCTTTTGATTTTTATTGTAGAGATGAGGTCTCGCCAAGTTGCCTAGGCGCGTCTCGAACCCGCAGGCTCAGGCAATCCACTTACCTCAGCCTCCCAAAGCGTGGGATTACAGGCTGAGCCACCGAGCCCGGCTATTTATTGCTATTATATAAAGATGACTCTAAAAGTTATTTACATTAAAAAATTCACTTAAAAAATTCACTGTGCTCTTAGCTGTCAAGTATTGATTAAAGCTGTCAAGTATTGATTAGCTGATGCTTTAATCAACTAATAGTATTACAACTAATGGTATTAAGTAGAAAAAAAATACAACTAATGGTATTTAGTTAGAAAAAAAAACACCACCAATAAATTGTTTTCTGATCACTTCATTTCAAGTATTTTATTTTTACTAGTCCAATGGATTTTTTTACTACTAGGAGGGTGGTGAGGGTTGCTAAGACAACTGGAAGGGTGGTGGGGGTGGAGGAGTTATCTTTTGCTACGAGAAAACCCATCCTTTTTTCTGCTAGAAGGTTTTGGAGCCATGAGCAAGACTGAAGATGTGTGTCCACCCCAGGAATCTTCACCTTAGGTAACATGTGGATGGGCAGGAATACAGCTGGGTTCCTATTCAGAGGGATGAGAATCCCTTAGTCGGACAGCTATGCAAAATCAGCAAGAACAATTAAAATATCACTGCAGCTGGGTGCAGTGGCTCACTCCTGTAATCCCAGCACTTTGGGAG